TAGCCCATAGGTACCATTTTTGGGCATAACAAATCCCAGCTGGAAAGGGGATAATATCATAATCCCTCACCGGACCCTCAGCCTCTCACAGTCTGACACTGACTTCTCCAACACCGTCCACCAAACCATCAGAAGATGCTTCCGCCTTCCCCAAGACCCCAACTCCGAGCCGAGGACGCCAACACAAGCCTCTGCTGCTCCAAGCACCGCAGGCGGGCAAAACCAGACCCCGTAACGCCGTAGCCCCGTAGCTCACGTAAGGCAACTACAATCTTCCATGTGGAACAGACATAACAGAAGTTAGAAAACAAACAAAAAAAAATAAGTTAACAAGACAAAAATTAAATAAAGTAGAAGAGCAAGAAAAAAAATAATAATAAAATAACAAGGCGGACCGGCAAACATCTGAAGGAGGAAGCCAGTCGGGTTAATAATGAGTTAACAAATTAAATAATTATGGTTTTGAATACTTGTAGGAAACTGAGACACAAATTTCCCGGTTACGTTAGAGGTCGCAATTCACACACGTGCTTCCACCGTCCACGGCAAAAGCAACTGACTTTCTCAAAATCTCAACTCGCGAGCAGTGTTGCCAGGTTTTTTCTCGGCGAGAATACCAGAATAGCGTTGCCAGATGGTATATTTCTATACCAAATTTAACAAATCTGGTATTTTCAGAAGGTGTCTGGTATGAACATTTTAGATCTGGTATATTGGTATATTTGCCAAAATCTGGTATTTTTTCGGTATTCTCTAGCTTCCTGCAAATTTACTGCAAGTTCCACTTCGTAAGTTTGAACTTCCTCCAGCGTAGGCGTAGATTATATAGATTACCTTCATAGCGGCGCTACTAGAGCTTTCCCGCTATTTTTGGACCCTCAAGTTTACCGCTTGATGAAATAACCCCAATCTAATTGTGAACATTTAACAACAGTATTTTGTACAATATGAGCACGAGAGTGATTATCCTTGATTGATTACTGTTCAGTGATGAAATGGCCTACGACGAGTGAGGTTGTCGAACCCCAAGCTCCACCATTTTTGTTTGGTGGTTTTGAATTCTAGTGTGCCACTTGAATTCTGGGGTGCCATTCAAAATTTCACTGATCTTGAAAATCATCACCCATTCATAGAACTGGCTGCCTACTGCATCACTTGTTTACTTTGACCTGTCTCCAATGCATTCGTGGAGCGAATGTTTTCACAAGTCACCTATGTGAATAACAAGCAACGAAATAAATTTTCAACCAAGTTACTGGAGTCCGTTTTTCGGACCAAAAGCTTTCTGCTCAGCCGCAACAAGTGATCACACCCGAAATGTTAGATCAGTGGTTCCAAAACTTTTTCAGGCTGGCGCCCCCTTCGGCTTCCTAGTGAATTTCTAGCGCCCCCCACAGACACATAAAAAAACAAACGCCTCATTCTTGAAATTTACTACGCTGCAATTTTAAAAGATGAAGGTTAAACTCAAATGTGTATTTCACAAATAGAACCCCATTTAGTGAACCAATATGTTTTTCAGCTGTTTTAACTGTTACAGCACTAGAAATCTAGGTCGTCTCGGGCAAATTTACGGCCAGACTCGTGGCCGGTCTCATGACCAATCTCCAAATTCAATTATCAAGTAATATCTCCCAAACTAATGAACGAAGCTCGATGAAACTTGGAACATGTATTCATCATAACCTAACGGTGATGTTTAGCTCGTGAGAATATTTAAATTTCACCTTCATTCGCGAGTTATATTGCGATACAGGCTGAAATTCGCAGTGATCAAAGAATTTCTTCCAAACTATACTGAACAGATTTGAACGAAATTTTGAATATACATTCCTAACTACCAAACGGTGATTTTTTAGCTTAAAAACATTTTTTTCGATTTTACCATTGTTTGAAAGTGTTTCTTCATTTCGCCGTCATTCTTGATTTCACACTTCCTTATATTCGGCCCGTATCGCCGGATAATTTGTCGCTTGAATTCGAGGCGATCATTAAATTTCTTCGAAACTACTGAACAGATTTGAACGAAACTTTGTATATAAATACCTAACCTCCCAACGGTGACGTTAAGCTCGTGACAATTTTTCTATTTTGCTTTCGTTCGCGAGTTATACAGATATAGGAGGAACGACCGGCTTTTCTATACCGGCCGGTTCAACCAAGAGCCGTTTACGTATATCCGTATAACTCGCAATTAAACGAAGGCAAACGAGCGAATTAAACATCACCGTTGCTAAGGTTAGGTATTTAAATACTAATTTCCGTTCAAATCTGTTTAGTAGTTTGGAAGAAATTTCTTGATTACTGCGAATTTAAGCACGTATTGCTGTTTAAATCAGGAATGAAGGTGAAATGAAGAAAACTCGCGAACGAAGGCACAATCGAAAAAATTTTCACGAGCTAAACATTACCGTTCGGTAGTTAGGACTGTAAATTCAAAATTTCGTTCGAATCTGTTCTGTAGTTTGGAAGAAATTCTTTGATCACTGTGAATTTCGGCCCGTATTGCCATATAACTATGGCAAAAACAAATGAAGGCAAAATTCAAAAAATTTTCACGAGCTTAACATTACCATTAGGTCCTTATAATGAATACGTGTACCAAGTTTCATCAAGTTAAGTTCATTAGTTTGAGAGATATTCCTTGATCATTGAATTTGGAAATTGACCGTGAGAACGGCCGCGAGTCCGGCCGTTAATTTGTCCGAGACGTAAACCCAGGAGGGGTTAAAAAACAGATCTGGGTGAAAAAACCATCGTTGGGAGTCATGCGCTGCACGTGTTGTGTACAAATCGTCAAAAACACGTTGGAACTTCTGACTTCGACTTCGGACTATCGCCCCCCTATCGCCCCCCTACCGCCCGCTTTTTCCTTACCGCCCCCCAAAATCTTTCCACCGCCCCTAGGGGGGCGATATCGCCCACTTTGGGAACCACTGTGTTAGATAAATGCAATATGCATGCATGTACGAAAATAAGCAAAAGGAAGATGACCTGTTTCCGTGACTTGCTCATGTTGAGCGAAGAGGGAGAAGTGCGACACTGTGATACAAAAAGGAAAACGTGACAATGTAATCAAACACAGGAAAAGGAAAGTGTCAAAATGTTCCAAACAGAGGGACAAATATAACGTGTTTAATTTGGCTAGTTATCGTCAAGCTAGATAAATGCACAGTACATAAGATAATTTTTCTTTTATAACCAATGTTTCTGACGAATAATTTCATTAAATTTGGAGGTAGTAGCCTATTTTTGAACTATAGAATTTCTGGTATTTTGAGCTAGGCAATCTGGTGTCGCGAGTCGCGGCTAGTCTACCAAAGATTTGGGAGCCTAAATTCTAAAATATGAACGTTTACCGGTAGTCACTTGCAGACTAAACTATGGAAAACAAGTTCGCAAAAACGCAGCGGAAATGAAGACTATGAATTTGATAATAAATATATTTTTGATTAGCATTTCCTGCGATTTACAAGATTTATCATTGGTTTAGTATCCATTGATTGCGATCTTCTCTCCATCTCTGATTTGAATTTTAAGGTTTGTTTCTCATTTGTTGCTTGGATTCATTATAACTTTTCGATTATGATACAATATCAACCACATGAGCACTCTAAGATTATTTTTATCGGAGCATGGCCAAAACTGACACGGCGGCCATTTTTTTTTTAATTGCTTTCAAGACTTCGGGTATGAACAGATCACAGCGGTGGGCCAATGCCATTGAAAGGTGAATGAGTGAAGGAAGTACGATGATGCCGAAATCATCCCGAACGAAACTATTCAGCAAGAAGGAGCTTCTACAAGTTGAAAAGTTCTACTACTTATCCGGTCGAAATGTAAACCTAATATCTTTGAAACACAGTGAACCACGTAAAATATGCAGGAAATAGCAAACAAATTCAGAATAAAAGGCCTTATGACTAAATAACTTTCTCTATTGCTGGTAATGGAGAAAGAAAGAGCAAAGCATAAAGGATTAAGTTATTGTCAAAAGCTCCTTCCTTCAGCGAGAGACCGGTATTAAAGAAAATTGTTCGACATTAACGAAGGTGATCCCTACGAAGTGCTGGCAAAGCAATGATGTGCCGATTTTGCAAAGTCTGCCTCCACTTTCAAACGGTGATTTACTAAACTATTAAGTGTTAGTCAATACAACTTGCAAAAATTCAAGGCATGCAAGACGCTTGAAGCTTTCAAGGAATTTGCGATGGATGGGTGCTGGAGATATACACCGTAATACACGCACAAACCAGCCTACTGCAATAACACCGTCATTGCTGCCAAGGTGAGGATAATGGATCATGAGTGTTCATGACAATGTAATATGATCTGTAAATATTATTACTTTTTATTCTTGCTTATATAGTTTGTCTACTGGCAAGTAACAGATTTTGGCCCCCGTAATTTTTCTAATATGGTATATCAATATCATACTAGATAACATAACAGGCACAACTTTCGGCTTTCAGGTGATGCACTCAATGAGGCTGAATGAAAAACTGCTGAAAGCTTGGGTGATGGCTGATGCTTACGGCACCAACATATCAGCTCACTGCGACTGTGTGGCAGGGGTTGGAGAAACGTGCGCACATGTTGGAGCGGTCACAGTCGATGCAATTGTATGATGCAGAGAGAAAACAACAGTCACTCGTCGACGTCTTGTGCTAACGTCGAGAACTTCGCTGCTTTGGACTTCCTTCACGGCTGGTAAACAGAAGAAACGCATTCCATTGTCAAGTTTTCTGTTTAAATAGTCGTGAAAACGACTGGTACATCCAACAGCGCAGTAGCGTCCTATCTTCAAGCAAAATTTTAAAAAGAGACAAGCGCAGTACATTGAACACGTAGGAGAAAGCTAGACCATGCAACAAACATGGCCTGCATCCCACAATGCATCTCGCAATTAGGTGCCGCGACGTCATCCTTACGAGGCCGATTTGGGAGAAAATTTGAACGCTTGTATAAGTTACCAAAATAAAACACGATGTTCAACATTAGTTAGTGATTACAAATTTTATTCGCGTTGAAAAATATCAATGAAAAAGAACGACCAATAACTAAACATTAACAATCCTGAAAAGATGAAGTTTAAGGTAACAAGAAATTAATTAGCAGAACATTGCCTTGCACAGGAGTCGCGCCTAAAGCTGAGCAATCAGCGGCCACAGGCAACGCGACTATGATTTATATTTCAGCGTAAACATATGACAGCTTGCAGCTTCATTTAAAATTTCACATTTTCATGACCTGCAGAGCAACTTTTTCTACACGATTCTAATGACACCAAAATATATTATATTAATCTGACATTAAAATGGGACAAATATAATGTACGATAAAACTTAAGAGATTCTTTATAGCGTCATTAAACAAGTTTCGTGTGTACAAACAATGCGAACATTGCACACTAAAATACGACGGATTTGTAACGAAGACTACGAAAATCGCAACACACGAGCGAAGGCTGATTTTTACGAACTTTTTGAACTGCATTAAAAGCGTATGCTTGTTGAACACATAATAATAAACAGAGGTTAACGACTCTGAAGATAGACGGCTATCTCTGAACATGGTTTTTAACGTTCAAGAACTGAACACATAAGTGTCACAGCGTGATTACAACGCTTAGAGTACGTAACAGCGTCTATATAACGTACTGACGTACACATATATTGTACAAAGTACGTCAAGATTTGTTCACGCTAAAATAAAACATATTTAACTACAACTACAACGCCAGGACACAGACCTTGGCCATCGGAATGTCGCGTAGGGAAGTGGCAAAGCAATACCAGTCGAACTAGAATTAGAACGCACGATTCATAATAAAACCAAGAAGACTTTACATTAATATTAAATTAAAATTAATCAGTTTAATAAAAGCTCGAATCAAGTGCACACAGCAGGTCACTCTTCTATTAAGAGGTCAACACCAATAACAAAACGCATGAGATACTATGAATGCTATGAACACATCAGTAGTCATTATTCTATTATATAATATTCATAAGAATTAGAAATAATTCATCGTAATACTTTTTAGAACCAAAAGCTAGGAAAAATCATATAAATACTATAAAAGATCTTCATTGTCAACGTCTAGGCTATAACTTCTAAGGACGAATCTAGGGTCCAAGTTGGAGGTCTAAGTTGGGGTGTAACTTCAGCGTATAATTTCAAATTGGGGTGTGAATTCGAAGATGTAAGTTGGAAGTGTAAATAAAGGGTGTAAGTTTAATTTTGGAGTATGACTTCAGGATGTAAGTTGGGGTGCAACTTCAGGCTGCAAGTTGAAGGTATAACTTCAGGGTGCAAGTAGAAGCCATAAATTCACGGTATAAGTTGAAGCTGTACCTTCAGGGCGTCAGTTGAATATTTGACTCATTGTCCACCATCGCTACCTCTACTGTAGGTGGCGGCACAACACGGCAGCGTCTAGCGCAACACTCGAAGAAGCCAACGTGGAGGCCCAACAGACTTGTTCATATTTTTAAGATACAGATTCGATGAAACATGGACTGGTTAACATAATTTGCTAACGTTACACACGACATGACACTCACTCACAACTAGTACCCAGGCTCACGTCACACCAGCCCGTCACACGTCACTAGTACTCAGGCTCACGTCACGCCAGGCCGTCACACGTCACTAGTACTCAGGCTCACGTTACGCCAGGCCGTCACACGTCACTAGTACCCAGGCTCACGTCACGCCAGGCCGTCACACGTCACTAGTACTCAGGCTCACGTCACGCCACACGTCACTCGAAGTCAGGCTCACGTCACGCCACACGTCACTCGAAGTCAGGCTCGCTCTCATGGCACACCCTGGCCGTCATGTCGCTGAGGGGCTCGAGCTCCTTGGGCGGCACGAGCTGGAACTCTGAGATGAAGTAGTAGAAGTGCTTGTAGCAGGTGTTGACGTGCGCCTCCTGCACGCAAAACAAACGTCAACATACTGGCATCGACCTCATATTTAGTGTATCATTAGAATAATGCATGGAGATTAAATACTAGCAGTGCTTGAAGCAGCGTTTCCTGCACCACATAGAAATGGCCGCATTACAAATACATTATGTTTACAACATATTATTGTATTTATCACAATTATTTATACTGCATAATACAGTTTTTTTCTGCCAAAATAATCTCGTCATAATCTCATCATTCCTTTCGTACCAACTTTCTAATTTTGACCAACAATCCAGCAATACCATTCATGATCCAATTTATTGCAAATATTTGCTAACCAACAATACGTACACACAATGACGCACACATTACACACCAAACAAAGAACCATGTGCACCTTACGCACCTTTGAACTATGACTAGTCATCACACGAGTTGTGACCAAAATGGAACACACTTAGGACCCTGATAAGAAGTTAGGCCTCAGATAGAGCAAACTTAGGACTCTGACAGGACCTAGTTAGGAGTGAGTTTGGACCAGTTAGGATCCATATAGAACACACTTCGGACCCATACAGCACACAGGACGCATACAGAACACAGGACTCATACAGAACACAGGACCCATACAGAACACAGGACCCAAACAGAACACAGGACACATACAGAACACAGGATCCATACAGAACACAGGACCCATACAGAACACAGGACCCATACAGAACACAGGACCCATACAGAACACAGTTAGACCCATACAGAACACAGTTAGGACCCATACAGAACACAGTTAGGATCCATACAGAACACAGTTAGGATCCATACAGAACACAGAACCCATACAGAACACAGGACCCATACAGAACACAGGACCTATACATAACACAGGACCTATACATAACACAGGACCCATACATAACACAGGACCCATACAGAACACAGGACCCATACCGAACACAGTTAGGACCCATACAGAACACAGCATCCATACAGAACACAGTTAGGACCCCTACAGAAAAGTTTGGACCCATATAGAAAACGCAGTGGACCCAAACAGAACACGGTTAGGTCAGAAACAAGTTCAAGTTAGGGCCCAGTTAGGCCCCAGTCACGCTCAATTTACTCACGGCGCCGATGGCCACGACCCTGTCGAAGTGGTGGATGTAGACGTGCACAAACACCCGGAAAAGACGACTCAGGATTTTCTTGCAGAGCGACATGAAACTTTTAGGGAATGGCACATCTGCAAGAAAGTTTATGTTTCCAATTTCTGTGTCAGCAGTTATGAGGCACAGTTCTGTTTGCTGGCGTTAGTAAAGGAGAATACAAATGTGAAATCAATTATAACTTGAAAAAACACTTCTACCTGCAAAGATTATAAACATGATTATTTATCAAATAAAGCATTTTCTTTATAATATTTCAACGGCAATGTTCCAACTTCAATGGCAACTATTGTAGAGGTCTTATATTGAATGCTATTTTATCGTTAGGTATAGGCTTTTAGTTAATCAATGTGTTGTCAAGTTAGAATAAGTGTTAGGAGGTTTGAATTGTAAAATTGTAAGAATATTTTAGAGAGTACTGAAACTGTGCTGGGAAATTGCGGATAGGAAAAGGCAGCAGTTGGAACGCGGTCGTGCACGCAGCTTCTGGTGGTGTGTAAAGCTAGTCTCTCAGAGCGAAGCTACTAGGTGTCTATTTGCCGTGTTACAGTCTTTAGTGTGAAGGAAACTTTTAATGTAAATGTTAAGTTTTGTGCAATAAAGTATTTTACTGGGACCGTTATTTAAATGAACATTGAACCTACCACTATACGAACGACACTATCAATTTTGAGAAGCCAATTTATAACTCCTACAGAATATTTTTAGTGGTCAGCTTTTAAATACTAAAAAGAGTCAGAAATCAGTGGAAATAAAGGTTGGAAAATGCAAATTCTTAGCAGCATGTGACTTGCCTCAGCATAGCTCATAAAGAAGCCGTACCTAAACATGCTTATTATAATCAGCACTTGTATTACAATACAGTAATGAACATTTGAAGCCACTTTACAATGAGATCTAAGATATTTCTTGAATGTGAGAGGCACCTACAGCACATTATCAATGTAATGATAACTATGCAGATAATATGCATTATCCTAACTAGAATGTAAAAATTCAGTATTATACTTGATAAAACTATGATAATAAGACCAAAAAACTAAAACTATACTAACAAGAACTGTGATAATACATTGCCGCTAGAACTAAAACTATACTAACTAGAAATCACATCAACCAAAACTACACCACAATGCTTGATGTATAAGCAGCAATCCACAGTAGAAACTAACCAACAGTCACAGGGAATACTTTTTCATCGTTTATTTGTGCTTCAACCCAGTCCATGAGGAGGCTGATGTACTGAGGAGCAGGCAGGGCAGTGGGCTTCTTGTAAGATTTGCCGTCCACCCATAAATACTCAAACTTCGGCCCACCGCTCATTGTGGGGCAAGACGTTGGTGTGCAGTAGTCGCAAATTGTCCCATAGATCAAGTTGACACGGTTGAAGAAATCAACAACTGCACAGAAAACTAAGAGTAGCATTTTGGAACCAGGCATTCAGATTGCAATTTGATTGCCTTTTCAACCTAAGGTTATGAAAGTGAGATCCTATTAATGTCTCTCTATACCAATCTGGATCAATAACCCCCTAACAAAACACAATTATTAAATTGATTGGTAACATTTCCTCAATATTCAGTGAAACTAATTTCAGTTGGTCTATGGGAGGAAAAACTCTATGCTAGCATCTGCTTTCAAAAGTGAAACTATTACATTTATAACTTTAAAAACACAACCAAAATTAGTTGAATTCTAAATCAATGTACTAGAAATGTGAACAGTGACAAACCATGCACTGCAATCCAGTCATTGAGGTCTTCATTGGGCGGGAGCTTGACAACCTTGCGCAGGTTGATGCCAGAGTTGAGGGAGGCTTGTGCCTGCTTGTGTAGGCTGTACTTTAGAGTGCCTGGTGGCAGCTTCTTGCGTGGCCTGAATGTCTGCACAGCATACAACAAATAAGTCAAAACATGAGTATTAGAAATAGTAGGAGAATGGTTGTCTTGCACTGGCTGTGGCAGTAATAACAAATTGATGCTAGGCTTGATTAATCTCTATTTAAATGAAAAAACCTTCTATTAATATTTATAATTTAATACATAATTTGCTTGACAAATGTTTGCTTCATGATGATTTATTAGAGGTCATACCAACTTTTGAAGAACCTAGAAATTGCCAACTGGTTGGTTACCTTGGGAGTGATAACTAGCAAGATTTCAAAATCACCTATGCAAATAAATTTATTTAATATCAATTTTTATTGAATAAATCCAAAACTGATGTTGCAATGCATCTCATACACACAAAAAAATAAATTTCAGATTCAAATAACATGTTAACACAGTATAAATATTTCCCTAAAATGAGGGAGCTATGACTCAGCCAGCATGAGCAACAATGGACAAGTTAGTGGACATTATTACACATTCCATGTTATTTCATTCCCTGTAATGTTGAAAAGACCATATATACCATAGATCTTTGAATCAGCAGAGATCCCAAGGAAATGACTTTGAACTCTAAACATTAGTACACCCCAGAGATCTGATGCTATAGACTTTGAAAAAATAACTTGCAGGCCCTTGGACAGCATTATGAAAGAAAGTGAACAACATTGTAGGTCATAAAAAATATGTACATTAAAGTATGTTCCAGTATAGGTTAAGACTACTAATTAATACTTCTATTAAGATATAAAATGTCCTCTCTGCCTAGTTATAATCATAATTAGGCTCATGTATCTAACACTTCCTTTTTATTATTACTTTTAATTTTATAGGTAGACATCACATTTCCAGCTTACCAGGTACAATAAATTCCATGATTAATTCTTTTGAATATCAGTACAATAATAAAATTTATGTTTTAAATACTGGTAAATATTTTAGTGAAAAATCCATATAAATATAACATGTAACATTGAGATTAAAATAGAGAATTGTTTAAAGGAGAAATACCTATGTTTAGAACCTTTATTTAGAGGTAAATAAATATCTGTGCACAATTAACAGTTGGAGTTGTGTTAGGCATGATAAAAATAACCATAATCCTATTCTCAATAAACCAGCAATATACGTTTGATTTTATTGCAGGTTTATAAACAACTGCTCTCAGAAGAAAGTTTTTAACATAAGAGGCAGAATAAAAATTCAAATTCAATTCATCAATCACTGGGAAACAATTAAGTAATAGTAATGAAATGAACTTTTTTCATGCAAATTAAGACATTTTAACACTTAAAATTAAAAAAATTCAAACAATTTGGCCTAATTTCTAAGTTGCAGCTCACCAAATGGGTAAAAAACCAGGATGACTTTCCCCCAAAAAGCAGAAAGTTAAGAAGAAAGAATAATTGAAAAGAGACCAAGTGTCATGGAGAGTGCATGCCAAGGAGCAAACAGATCAACACCGTGCACATTATACGGCAGGTAGAGAAGACAACAGATTTGCTGCAGCATTCCCTTCAATGTAACCTCACTGTGATGAGTGACAGTGGCAAGGTTTTAATCTCAAATAGAAATAATATACCTTATCCATGACTTTGATCCCACTTTCTGCCATAGGATGGCAACTCAAATTTGTCAATGAAAATGTTGATTAGCACTTCCATTTGCATGCAAGACGTTGCAAGTATTTAGTGTTGTCCTCTTACAAACCTCATTCTCAGTCTTTTGAATTCCTCATAACCAATAAATAAATCAATGATACTTTTGATATAGTCTAGAGTATAATACCATTAAAATATGTATAAATTTTTGGCCAGATTGAGAATTCAAGGTTCTTAATTGGATAAAATGTAAGTTATTGACAATTTTTTCCAATGTTATAAGGAGGAAACTTAGTAGCTTTTTCTGGGAGGACAGCACTAAAATACCTAGCTCCATGAAGTTGAAAAAACTAAAGCATACTCACTTGCTTTGAATTTAACTGAAAATAGAGAAAGGCATATTAGAAGTAATACAAATAAATTCTGAGAAGGGATGAAAGACACTACCAGTACACATCAAAATAATTCATCAAAAAGTAAAATTTAATAGATCAAGCTTTAAGATATACATCCAGTCAATAATTATATCTATACAAAATACTTGATAAATTATTGTAGGACTGAAAAAATTGATGTAGGAGATAGATAACAATTGAGACAGAGTGCCAATAATAATTTATATGATTTCAATCAGTTGATTGTGATCAGACAAGCAATTACACAGGAATAATGAATGAAAGTTTAGAAAGCTTGATCAGAAGCTTGGAAAGATGCCAATATTTTGAACCAAGGGGACTCCCTTCAAAGTCAGTATCCTTATATTTAAAGAAATCATTTACTTTACATGGTATCCACTTCCTAATTTCAAAGTTCAATAGGTACCATCAAACAGGGTTATATGGGACAATTGTTTTATTTCTTGTTCACAACTCCTTACCATGCAGAAATTTCATAAATTAATTTAGGCTCATTTCAAAGGTCTTTGCCAGGGCTATTGTATGGCTTCCCAAACAAATTTCCATATGCTATTTGTAACATGCCAGAAGCAAAAAAAAAGCATCATAAATTACCCCTGGGAATGGGGTAATTTGAGACACTTGAAATAGAATTTAATTTTAAAACATTTGAAGCATGCAGAGTGTACTCATCCATTACTATGAGTACTCTGAAATCCTCTTAATTTCTAGATGATGTAGAATAAACAACATTTTCAGTGATTTGTATTTGTTTTAAATTTATTGATGATATTATCATATCCATTTTTCATTATGTACTAAAAACTAATTTTTCTGTTCTATACATTACCATCAAACATGGTAATAAGGGACAGTTGTGAGCGTTTTAGGTTAATAACTTCTTACCATGAAGCATTTCACAAACAAGTTTGAGCTCATTTTATAGTTAACCGGGGCTACTCGGGCTAGTCAAAAATAGTCAACCGGGGCTACTCGGGACGGGAGGGGCTACTCGGGACAGTCCTCCGACACGGCGTAAAACTGTTATAGTAGCAAAACTACCGTAATTGGAATATTGCAAAACTAAATATAGTGGCGTAAATGTCAACATTTTTCCTATCTATGTAGTATAAAGGAAGTTGAAAAATACTACATTTACTAGCTTTGAAAAATTCCTGAAAAAAATGGTGAAAAACGCTATTTTGAAAAGTTACTTTTGCTAAGGTCTGTAGCCAAAAAAATATTCACCATATTAAAAAATTTTTTTACTTACGTAAAAGATGCACCCAGGTGTCGGCTTGAAAACGTAATTGACGGAATTGTCCTATATCATTCCAAAAAAAATGGCAGTCATTTCCGCATGGCGGGGCTACTGGGGGCACCCCCAAAAACGCATTTACAGTAGAACCTCAGTAAGCAAAGGGTCCAGTTAAGAAGAAAATGGATTAAAAACAAAGAATTTTGATTACATTTACCTCGCTAACGAAAAAATTTTCACTTTTCGAAAAATTAGTGCATCATCGGTCGTCACAAAATTGTTCATAGAATGCTATATATATAATTGTGCTCCGGGCATCATAGAATGAAAAGTAATTGACCTAAACTATGATTTATTTCTCCAAAATATATGATGGTTGTCACTACAACATTCCTTTCTGTTTCAGGTATGTTTTTCAGGATCTTTTTTTAATAGTAAATTCACTTAACCTAATTAAAATGGCGCATAAACGAGCACTATTGTGCTTGCCATGTCTGTTTGTCCGCCATGCATTGTCTGTGTATGAGAAAATGCGCTCTGTCACTCACTGCAGTGAGTAAGGAGTTTTTTTTACAATTCACTCAACCCAATTAAAATGGTGTGAAATTACAAGCCGTCCTGTGAGCTTACAGATACCAAAAAAATGCTTTAAGGCTGCTGATATGAAGCTTGCAGTGAACAAGGTTGTTGTAAATACTCAATGGCATGTTCATGGATATGGTAATATTACATCAATAATACATTAATATCCCATCAATAATATGGTACCATCAACTGGGGTGACTTGGGCTGGGTTTTTGATTTTGTTTTGCAAACAAAAGCAGGGTCATAAACGATGGCCAAAGTCACTCTGGCATTTATGACCTTGTTTACGACCTTGGCGTTTATGACCCCGGCATTTAAGACCCCGTTTTTGTTTGCAAAACAAAATCAAAAATGCAGTGGAAGTCACCCCAGTTGGAGGTAATTAATGTTTTTGGTAATATCATCAATAAAGAAAAAACAAGTAAAAATCACTGAAAATGTCATTTATTCTACCTCTACATCATCTACAATGAAAGAGGAGAACTTCAGAGTACTGTTAGTAATGGATGAGCACACTCTGCATGCTTCAAATATTCTAAAATGAAGTTTTATTGCCAGTAGTCCTTGTCCTGAGTCCTGAGTAGCCCCGTTTGATGGGGCTACTAAGGACTTTTTTTTTTTTTTGCTTCTGGAACCTTAGGAAGAGCATATGGAATTTTTTTGATAATGCCATTGGATAGCGCTCGCAAAGAGCTATAAAATGAGCCTAAATTTGTTTATGAAATGTTTCATCATAAGAAGTTATTAATAAAAAAACGCTCAAAACTGTCCTGAGTAGCCCCGGTTGAAGGTATGTTATTTGTAAGGTGCCAGATGCAAAATAAAAGCGTCCCAAATTACACCTGGAAACTGGATAATCAGGGACACTAGAAATAAAGCTTAATTTTAAATGTTTGAAGCATGCAGAGTGTACATGTCTATCACTAACAGTAATCTGAAGTCCTCCTTTTCCTCTATAGATGATGTAGATGTAGATTAAATGACATTTTCTGCAATTTTTACTTGTTTTTCCTTTATTGAGATGATATTACCATATCCATTACTGTATATTGATGTGATATTACCATATCCATGGACATGCTATTGAGCATTTACAACAACCTTGTCCACCACAAGCTTCATATCAGCAGTCATATAGCTGCTGCAGCAGCCATATATAAGCTTACATGATGATGTAAGCTTACAGATACAGAAAAGTGCTATATGGCTGCTGATATGAAGCTTGTGGTGGACAAGGTTGTTGTAAATGTAAATGTGTTGTAAATTTCACACCATTTTAACTGGGTGAAGTGAATTCACGATAACAAAAAAAATTGTAAAAAAAACAAAAAATATAGGTACCTGAAACAGAAAGGAATATTCTAGTGATAATCATCATATTTTTTGGAGAAATAAATCATAGTTTAGGTTAATTACTTTTCATTTCATGTTGCCCAGTGCACAATTCCATCTATGACATTCCCTGCACAATTTTGTGATGTCCGATGATGCATTAATTTTTTGTTAAGTGAAATTTTTTTGCTGAGCAAGATAAATATGATCAAAATTATTTGTTGTCAATTGAGTTTTTTGTTGACTGGAGCTTTTGCTAATCAAGGTTCTACTAGAAATGCCTTTTTAGGAATGTCCCTGATTACCACAGGGGGTTGTCCCTTATTACCGTGTCTCATGGAAATTGCCCCCATTTTTTTGGAATGAGATATGCAAATCTATTAATCATGTTTTTAAGCCACCACCTGTTTGCAACTTTTAAGCAAGTAAAATATGTATTTTTTATATGGTGAATTTTTTGCCACAGACCTTAGCAGAGGTTTGTTTCCAAAATCTTGCTTTTTACAATTTTTTCAGGGATTTTTTAGATCTAGTAATGTATGATTTCTTAACTTTTTTTATGCTACATAGATAGCAAAATTGTTGAACTATACGCCACTATTTTTAGTTTTGCAATGTCTTGATTAGTTTAGCTGCTACTACATTTCTACAAAATGTGGGACAACTGTCCCAATTTACCTGCCTGTGCGGCCCATCCCTTACTACCCCATTTGACAGTAATTCACATTGAAAATATTTTCAAGCTCTAAAATTAGCATAAAAATTCAATTTTTGGCTTTAAAACAAAAATCAAAAACTGGCACTTCAAAGTTGAAAATTAGGCTGAAGCTATCTATGAATGAGGCCAGAAATGAAAATGTTTCTAAGGTTCTTATGCAATTTATTTTTTGAAAATTAATAATAAGAAAAAAATGTTTGCTGACACTATTAGGGAATCAGATCTGGGACTCAAACAATCAATTTTACCTACAATTCCATAAATTCTGCAGATATTTCAGAGTGACTACTGTTAAGGAAACAGGAGCGGCCCCTGGCCTACTGCAGAGACATATTTGGAATATTAGGCAAAAATTTCCTAAAATTGTAGGTAAAAACAATCTTTTTGTTGGTGAATTCTTGAAAATAACATGAAAATATGCACTTTAATTATGCAGTACAGCAATCCCTTGATTAGCACGGTTTTGAATACCGCGGTTTTGATTAACGCGGAAAAAAAAATTGCGACCTACCCTTAATCTACGCGGTGCCAGTTTTGATTAGCGCGACTTTTTTTTTCACAACGCATCATTTTCCCGCCTCTAGCCAGAGGTGTTACGTTCGTAACAAAAGTGTTACTTTTTGCTTATTAGATCTTATGTTGTTAGCCAATAATTCTTTAAATAAGGTCCCGTTCTGTAGGCACTCCTGCTGACTACAGAGTCGGTTTAACTGCGCCTTGTCTCGTTCATAACTCGAATGGTCGAGTTCGGCAACATTTGCCGGTAAGTGCGCCATGCCGGTGCTCTAGTTACTCGTTAGCCTTCAACTGGTCCAGATCGCTGCCATATCTACTGCTCATTTTTATCAAACTACAAAATTTTTCTTGATAAATTACCGTCATAATTATGGACAAAAAGGGAACGCTTAAACGTAAAAATATCACTTTGGTGACTAAGCTTGAAATTTAGAAAAAAAATTATTTATTATTTAGAAAAAATATTAAGAATTTTAGTGGGAAAAAAATTATTATGTAACTTTGCTATTTTTGGGGATTCATTATAATTATTCCCATATATTCTTAAGTTTGATTAGCGCGGTTTTGGTTAACACG